TAAAATTAGTGAATGATTTAGGTGAGGTCTGGTATCTCTGCATCCAGTTCACCCTTACTCCTAGGGTATAGCTCCTTCAGAGCCCCAACCAAAGCACTGGGCATTTATCAGATTCTCCATCCTTAGCAGACCCTGAACTCCTTTATTTTTTGCCTGTAGTCTATTGAGAGTTCAACTCGATTTCTCATCCTCTTAGCTACCTCTTACAAAATTGGCAAGCTATATCTGGAAAAAAGAGTCCTCTTATTCTGAACTTACCTCTCTGGGTTTCTGTGATATTGTGATTTATAATAAATACATCTTCATTCCCATTCCTGGTTTATTAACAAGTTTGTTTTTCTTTCATGTGCTATTTTAAAAGATTTTAAATAAACTTTTCTTGAGGTCTCATTTACATACAGTAGGATCTACCCAGATATATGTAACACCACCACAATCAAGATAAGGAATATTTCTACTACCGCCACTATTAACTACAAAATTTCCTTGTCCACTTCCTGGCCAATACCCTCTCCCATCTCTGGCTCCAGTCAGCTATTAATTTGCTTTCTGTTGCCATCAATTAATCTTTTCTAGAATTTTCATAGAAATGGATCATGTGGTATATATTTTATATCTAGTTCCTTTTGCTGACATAATGTTTTTGAGATGCATACATGTTTGTGTATATATCCATAGTTCTTTTTTATTGTATAGCTGTCACAGTTTATCCATTCACATAGGTTTGTTTTTAAACTTGTCAGTATATTTTTGAGTTTATTGATTACTCATCTTTGGAATTGGGAAACATTAATGTCTTCAACTCTAAATTTATAATGCTATAAAAAAATTATTTTGGGGCTTCCCTGGTGGTGCAGTGGTTGAGAATCTGCCTGCCAATGCAGGGAACACGGGTTCGAGCCCTGGTCTGGGAAGATCCCACATGCAGCGGAGCGACTGGGCCCATGAGCCACAACTACTGAGTCTGTGCATCTGGAGCCTGTGCTCCTCAACAAGAGAGGCCGTGACAGTGAGAGGCCCGCACACCACGATGAAGAGTGGCCCCCACTCACCACAACTAGAGAAAGCCCTCGCACAGAAACGAAGACCCAACACAGCCAAAAATAAATAAATAAATAAATTTATTAAAAAAAAAAAATTATTTTGAAGAGGTCGATCTCTCATTGCCTACCTAATTGTGCCAGGAGAGTATGCTGCTGTGGTACAGGTGTTTGTATCATAACATTTGACCTTTTAGTTGTACAAATATGTTTTTGTAGGCTCTTTGAAATGCTAGGCTTAAGATTGCTGATAATGGAATAATCTGTAATGTTGTGATAGCTACTGAGTGTAGTTTAAAATAAAAACAGTCAAAAGTACATATGGACGTTCCTTAAAAAACTAAAAATAGAACTACCATACAACCCAGCAATCCCACTGCTGGGTATATACCCTGAGAAAACCATAATTCAAAAAGGTCATGTACCAAAATGTTAAGTATGGAAACACAAAAGACCTCGAATAGCCAAAGCAATCTTGAGAATGAAAAACGGAGCTGGAGGAATCAGGCTCCCTGACTTCAGACTATACTACAAAGCTACAGTAATCAAGACAGTATGGTACTGGCACAAAACCAGAAATATAGATCAATGGAACAGGATAGAAAGCCCAGAGATAAACCCACGCACATATGGTCACCTTATCTTTGATAAAGGAGGCAGGAATGTACAGTGGAGAAAGGACAGCCTCTTCAATAAGTGGTGCTGGGAAAACTGGACAGGTACATGTAAAAGTATGAGATTAGAACACTCCCTAACACCATACACAAAAATAAGCTCAAAATGGATTAAAGACCTAAATGTAAGGCCAGAAACTATCAAACTCTTAGAGGAAAACATAGGCAGAACACTCTATGACATAAATCACAGCAAGATCCTTTTTGACCCACCTCCTAGAGAAATGGAAATAAAAACAAAAATAAACAAATGGGACCTAATGAAACTTCAAAGCTTTTGCACAGCAAAGGAAACCATAAACAAGACCAAAAGACAACCCTCAGAATGGGAGAAAATATTTGCAAATGAAGCAACTGACAAAGGATTAATCTCCAAAATTTACAAGCATCTCATGCAGCTTAATAACAAAAAAACAAACAACCCAATCCAAAAATGGGCAGAAGACCTAAATAGACATTTCTACAAAGAAGATATACAGATTGCCAACAAACACATGAAAGAATGCTCAATATCATTAATCATTAGAGAAATGCAAATCAAAACTACAATGAGATATCATCTCACACCAGTCAGAATGGCCATCATCAAAAAAATCAAGAAACAATAAATGCTGGAGAGGGTGTGGTGAAAAGGGAACACTCTTGCACTGCTGGTGGGAATGTGAATTGGTACAGCCAGTATGGAGAACAGTATGGAGGTTCCTTAAAAAACTACAAATAGAACTACCATATGACCCAGCAATCCCACTACTGGGCATATACCCTGAGAAAACCATAATTCAAAAAGAGTCATGTACCAAAATGTTCATTGCAGCTCTATTTACAATAGCCAGGAGATGGAAGCAACCTAAGTGTCCATCATTGGATGAATGGATAAAGAAGATGTGGCACATATATACAATGGAATATTACTCAGCTATAAAGATAAACAAAGTTGAGTTATTTGTAGTGAGGTGGATGGACCTAGAGTCTGTCATACAGAGTGAAGTAAGTCAGAAAGAGAAAGACAAATACCATATGCTAACACATATATATGGAATCTAAGAAAAAAAAATGTCATGAAGAACCTAGGGGTAAGACGGGAATAAAGACACAGACCTACTAGAGAATGGACTTGAGGATATGGGGAGGGGGAAGGGTAAGCTGTGACAAAGTGAGAGAGTGGCATGGACATATATACACTACCAAACGTAAAATGGATAGCTAGTGGGAAGCAGCCGCATAGCACAGGGAGATCGGCTCGGTGCTTTGTGACCACCTAGAGGGTTGGGATAAGGGAGGGTGGGAAGGAGGGAGACGCGAGAGGGAGGAGATACGGGAACATATGTGTATGTGTAACTGATTCACTTTGTTATAAAGCAGAAACTAACACACCATTGTAAAGCAGTTATACTCCAATAAAGTTGTAAAAATAAAAATGTTAAAAGAAGATAAATAAATAAAGGTATATATGTGTTTGTATGTATGTATGTATGTATGTAATAGGACTAAATACTCCAAGTAAAAGATCAATATTATCAGACTAGATTTAAAAAAAAAAAAAGGTACATTGTCATTTTTATTAGTTATTGCTAATTGTAAAGAATTGGGGTTTTGGGCTTCCCTGTTGGCGCAGCGGTTAAGAATCCGCCTGCCAATGCAGGGGACACGGGTTCAAACCCTGGTCTGGGAAGATCCCACATGCCGCAGAGCAGCTAAGCCCATGTGCCACAACTACTGAGCCTGCGCTTTAGAGCCCACGAACCACTACTTAGCCCGCGTGCCACAACTACTGAAGCCTGCGTGCCTAGAGCCCATGCTCCACAACAAGAGAAGCCACTGAAATGAGAAGCCCGCACACCGCAACGAAGAGTGGTCCCCGCTCGCCGCAACTAGAGAAAGCCCGTGTGCAGCAACGAAAACCCAACACAGCCAAAAATAAATTAATTAATTAATTTAAAAAAGAGAGAATTGGGGTTTTAACTGTTTTCAAATTTAGTGTTTCAAATTTCAATACTTTCTGAAAACTAAAAATGTTCGTATAATTTAATATGTGTATTTCATGCTTTTTAAAAATACGGCTATGTTAGTTATGGTTGATTGCTGCACCTTATAGTATCTTTGAAAAGGCAGTAATATTCTCCTTTGGAACTGGATTTCTTTAAAATAGCAATTTAACAAACTGTCATTATATTATATTCTGTAATAAAGAATGTTTAAAAACTTTTTTCAGAACTGTAAAATTTTCCTGCTGTACCTTTTTTTTTTTTTAAGCAAACCTAGTTTGCACATAAAATTTCTTATGGAAACAAGCTGACTTACCTCCTCTAGTATCCTCTTGGTATTTAATCCCTAAAATATTGATCTCAGTTTTTGTAGATATTCCTGTGTATGTCATTTTTATGCAAAACATATGTAAAATATTCTAATAGAATTCAGTTTTTAAGAGCATAGGCTCTGGATTCAATGGCCTGAGTTTGAATTCTTCTGTGCCACTTCTTAGCTGTGAAATGTTGGACAAGTAATTTAATTTAATTTTTTTCTTTTTTAGTAAATTTATTTATTTTGGCTGCGTTGCTGCCTGAGGGCTTTCTCTAGTTGCGGCGAGCGGGGGCTGCTCTTCGTTGTGGTGCACGGGCTTCTCATTGCAATGGCTTCTCTTGTTGTGGAGCACAGGCTGTAGGCTCACGGGCTTCAGTAGTTGTGGCTCGCGGGCTCTAGAGCGCAGGCTCAGTAGTTGTGGCGCATGGGCTTAGTTGCTCCGCAGCATGTGGGATCTCCCCAGACCAGGGATCGAACCTGTGTTTCTTGCATTGGCAGGCAGATTCTTAACCACTGCGCCACCTGGGAAGTCCCAATTTCATTTCTTTAAAATCAGTTCCTCATCTGTAAAATGGAGTAATTCTTATATAGATTTTGGAGATAATTTACAGAGTCCTTAATACATGACTGGACTAAATACATATTTGTTGAATTAATGAATGAATGCCTATTCTCTGTTGTATATAACCTGCAACCATTTTTGTAAAAATTTGATTTATGTCAATTTTGGATTCTGCTCTAAATTTCACATGACTGGGGTAGTTACTTCCTGACCATGGTCATAACTTAACAAATTATGTTGGATAGTGACTATATGATGAAAAGGATAAAAGGCAGTCTTGAGATTATGTACCATTCTATTTTTGTTACGACAGATTTGGATGCTACTAAAGGTTATAGGCTATATTGGGCAGGGAGGAGGACTTAGCAGGATTTTAGTTCTATGTGACTATTCTGTATTCTTAAAAAAATAAATACTTTTCAGTCGCTGAGCAAGAGCTGCTTGATATTGAAGACTGTGACCTCAATGTGGTGAGATTATGTTTTCAAGTCTTCCTCCCTGACGAACGTGGTAATTTGACAACTGCTGTACCTCCTGTTGTCTCTAACCCAATTTATGACAACCGTAAGTAATTTATTTTCTTGTATTTGTAGACTTAGCTCTTTAAAATGATTTTTTAAAGTGTTTTTGTAATTAGAAAAAGAGTGTTCATTATAGGAAAAATTCAAACATTACAGGGTAGATGTTATCTATCTGAAGTAGATAATGAGGAGAGTAAACCTCCTATACATCTCATCCTCCAAAGATATTTCATCGGCTGCTTCATATATATACAAATACCTCGTTTCATCATCATCACCATCATTCACACAATATATTTTTGGCAACTTTTTGAAAAATCGTCATTGATTTTTTTTTTAACTTTTTTTTTTCTCCTCTTAGCAACATATCTTGAACCTCTTTACCTTTCAGGTACCTTATTCTTTTCGGTAGCTGCATATTTCCGTATATCATAATTTTACTAAATCATTACCCTATTACAAGACATTTGGTTTGTTTCCTTCTCAATTCTTTTCTTTTTGCTTTAGCAAATTGTTCTGCAGTAAATATCCCACATGTGCATATCTTGTGCAAATGTCTCTAGCATAAATTTGTAGAAGTGTTGGCAAATGCTAGATCAAAGGATATGGATATTTATAGTGTTAAAAGATTATGAAATTGCCCTCAAATATTTGTGTTTGTATACTCTTATATATGCACCCACCAGTGGTGTATGACTATACCAGTTTTACATGTAGAAGGATAGTGGGCCATAGAACTATAAAGGTAAATCAGAATATCCTCATCATGGAGAGCTTTGAATGCCAGGGAATTATTGGAATAATGTTGACCAGATAATAGGAAGCATGAAAACTGCATTGCCACAGGGTTATGGTCATGATTTTAAAAGATTAATCTGATGACAGTGTATAGGATGGATAGGACGAATCAGAATTTAGAAGCAAGCAGATTTAATTAGAGGACATGTCATTGCCTAGAAATGAAGTCATAACACTCTAAACCAGGGTAATGCCCTTAAGAAAAGAAAGGGACAGATGTGGATGATTAAGGTATTGAGTGCCCTTAATTTATTTATACTCTAAAGCTTTTATCTATCCTGTAAGTTGTTTTCCTAAAATTCTCCATCAGAAAGGAATAAGACATATTACTAAGGTAGCAACCCATTAAAAATATCCTTTATATTTAGGTGCTCCTAATACTGCAGAATTAAGGATTTGTCGTGTAAACAAGAACTGTGGAAGTGTCAGAGGAGGAGATGAAATATTTCTACTCTGTGACAAAGTTCAGAAAGGTATTTTTTTGTTGTTTTTTTGTTTGTTTGTTTCATTGAATTCAGAATATATTTTAGATTGACAGATACATTTTACTTTCTTTTCCCATTGTTACTTGCTTTCTATTCACTAGATGACATAGAAGTTCGGTTTGTGTTGAACGATTGGGAAGCAAAAGGTATCTTTTCACAAGCTGATGTACACCGTCAAGTAGCCATTGTTTTCAAGACTCCACCATATTGCAAAGCTATAACGGAACCGGTAACAGTAAAAATGCAGTTGCGAAGACCTTCTGACCAGGAAGTTAGTGAATCTATGGATTTTAGATACCTGCCAGACGAAAAAGGTATGACTTTTTCATGGTAATGTTTTATATATTTCTTGAAGTTAGTCCTGCTAAGAACATTTTCTTGTAAGATACACTTGAATACAGTTGTGTTTATTCATAATTTATGTTTCTTTTCCTGAAAGTTTTTGGTTGATTTTTGACTGATCTTTGTGCTCTTTGAATCTCTTCCTTAGGAAAGGTATCTGGAATAATTTCAAAGTATCTAAACTGTTTATCAAAATTTGTTTTACATTTGAGATTCTATTTTGGTCCTTATTGTGCCCTCTTGATAGATGGCATACTTGCCACTCAGAAAGTGGTCTCCATTTTGGCCCTTATCTGCCATTATTGCATTAATTGACATTGGTGACTTGTAGGTGTTATAAGAAAACAAGATGATTATTATAAACTAATTTTTACTAAGAAAAATATCCTTTATTACTGACTTGGGATGTAGTTTGTGACACTTATAAATCCATCTTATGTACATTTTTGCATTAATTGACATTGGTGACTTGTAGGTGTTATAAGAAAACAAGATGATTATTATAAACTAATTTTTACTAAGAAAAATATCCTTTATTACTGACTTGGGATGTAGTTTGTGACACTTATAAATCCATCTTATGTACATTTATTTATTTATTTTATTTTATTTTATTTTTTAACATCTTTATTGGGGTATAATTGCTTTACAATGGTGTGTTAGTTTCTGCTTTATAACAGAGTGAGTCAGTTATACATATATATATGTTCCCATATCTCTTCCCTCTTTGTCTCCCTCCCTCATCAGAGGTTGTTGGGAAGGTTGTTAAAACCCAAATTTGCAACTGGAATGCTTGCTGAAAGCACCTGGTTACCTCAGCAGTCAATATAAATTACAGAGGCTTTCGTCCTTATCCCCTCCTGGGGCACGTGGAGCACAGCCCTAAGGGAACTCCTATTACTCTTTTTTCCAGTGCTCCAGGAGACGTGCACATCTGTTGTTGACACATGTGGAACCTCAGCTCTCCCACCACCTCTCACACTGTTGATGTGATCATGATATTTTCAAACCTAAGGAAGGACCTCCAGGCAGAAGGAAGACACACCTGACACAATTAAAACCAAAACAGTTGGCACACTGGGATACAGATGAGGAATTTACTGCCTTTCTCTGTACACTCCGAGCTGCTGGATGTTAGTGAAGGGTTAAGCTAAGGACAAAATTAAAGAATTGTATCTGTTTTCTTATTACATGAAGAGGTTGCATCACTTGGTTTTTCCTTAAAATCTCTGACCATAAAATTGTGACCCTTTCCTAATTTACCTGGGCTACTTCAAGTTTACTTTGGGGAACTCCTTTCCACAGACAGATTGACATTGCCTTTTAGGATCTTGCAATGCATGCTGGTTAAGAATCTTAGCCTGGGAACCACCCGGACCTGGGTCTGATACTTGACTCACCGCCTACTTACTAGCTGGGTGACCTCAGGCAAGTAGCTTCCCCTCGGCAAGCCCATCTCCTTATCTGTAAAGCAGGTAGGACACCCCACTGCCAGCCTGGGAGTATTCTTGTGAGGATTCAGAGAGACCTTGGTATCAAGTCTTCCTCTCGGTGACCGACGCATAGTTAAGTACTCAATAGTTTCTTTGTTTTTACCATTGTAATTGTTTTACAAAAGAGAGTCGAACAGATAAAATGCACAAGCTGACCTGTAACATAATTGAAAAACTTAAGGCAATGCACATGTATTTTGGCAGTTTAGAATGTGATAACTGGACAAACGTTTCTTCCTTGTTGAGTGCTCAGCAAAGTCTGCATACTGTGCTATTAGAAATGCCTGTTATAAGGGGAACAGACCTCCACCAGGTTCATAGTATCATTTGAATTTGAAGGCATTCCTTTCTCACAAAAGGAATTGCCATTTGAAAGGACAAGTCCCTATGAGGAGTAGAACAGACAGCAGAAGGTCTTGGCTTTTAGCTGCCTGAGCCATCTCAAATAATTCATCCAGTCTTCTTGACCTCTGCTTCAACCTCTCTGTCCAGGAAAGCAACAGGTATATTGCATGCAAGGAGGTTACTGATTCCTTCAAGTTTGATTTTGGGGTCAGATAGAACTAGCTTCAAATTCTAGCTGCACAGCATGCAAGCTGTGTGGCTAATGATTTTGAGCCCTAGTTTATGCCTCTGGGAGGAGATTAATGGGGTACCTTCCTGATAGGTTTGCTGGGAGGATTAAAAGAGAGCAAATTGCCCAAGCTTTGCAAATGGCAGCTAATAAAATAATGAAAACTTTTTGCTTTCAGAACTCTATCTTAAATTGAGGACTCCAAAGAGCTTCTGTGACTATTATTAATTTTTAATTAAAAGTAAGTTAAAATTTATTTTATTACTATGAGAAACAAAATGAGAAACTTTAAAAATATTTGTGTATTAATTTAAAAATCACAGCAAACTCTTAATATGCTAACATAAAAATACATTTTTAATAAAAAGTAACTTTTTTTAAAAAAAGGAACAAAAGAGAAGACTTCATTAGTTTTTTTTTTTCAAGTCCCTTTAATGTCTTAGTAGGAAGGAGTGGAATTCTCATATCTGCTTCCACTAAAATCTGTTGCAGTATCACACATTACTTAGCTTCTGGAAAACTCCACTTTACACCCTAGATGGAATGAAAGCAGAGAAAAGCAAATAATACCTTGGCATTATAAAAATAGTTTTGACCTCATGGACTCCCTGAAAGGGACTCAGGGACCCCCCACTCTTTGAAAACAACCGACTTGGGACAACTGTCTTTCAAACTCTCAAACTGTAGATGATCCAAAGGCTTATGTAGAAAAAGAATGTTACAATGCATAAGAGAAAGAGAAACATCAAGGCCAAGAATATAGAATATCTGAGTCCCACTGAAGAATTTACTTTTAGAAATAAGCTTGTACTCAAGTACGGGGCAGGAGAACAGCAGGAGCCCGAACATATTTACAGAATCAGGCAAGTATCAGGCAAATATATTCTCCAAACAGACTGGACAAACTTGTGATGCCAGTAATCCAGACATCACAGATCACTGCTTCTATGTCTCTTTCTCCGTTCTCCACCACTCCACACCAGCACTGCAGGAAAATACCCATTTGCTCTCTGGATTATCGAATGTTGTAGTTATACCCCACCAGGGCATGGTGACTCAAACCCAGAAAAACTCATGGGTTTTTCAAACACACAGACCTGGGTTCAAAGGCTCGAATTGCCACTTAAGAGCTATGTAGTCTTGGAAAAGTTACTTAAATTTACTGAATCTCATGTATATGATGGGGATTGTGATGGACTAAAAATGACCATATTCTCTGCAACTCCTCCCATCAAAAGTGTGGAATGCAATGGAATACTACTCAGCCATAAAAAAGAAACCTTACCATTTGCAATAACATGGATGAATCTAGAGGGCATTATACTAAATAAGTCAGACAAAGACAAATACCACATGTGATCTCACTTATATGCAGAATCTAAAAAACTAAACAAAATGAAAACAGACTCATAGATACAGAGAATAAATGGATGGCTGCCAGAGGGGAGGGTGGGTGAAATAGCTGAAGAGGATTAAGAGGTATAAACCTCCAGTTATAAAATAAATAAGCCTGAGGATGGAATGTATAGCACAATAATGGTCAATAATACTGTCATAACTTTGTATGTGGACAGATGGTTACTAGATTTCTCGTGTGATCATTTCATAATGTATGCAAGTCAAATCTCTATGTAGTACACATGAAACTAACATAATATTGTATGTCCACTATCTTTCAATAAGATTTTTTTTAATTAATTAAATTTATTTAACACACATAGAGCTAATTCAAGTAATCTCCTTCTTGAGTGAGCTTTGGAGTTTTTGTCTTCAAGGAATTTGCCCATTTCAAGAAAGTAATCAAATTTTTTAGCAAAGTTGTTTATTATATTCTCTTAATCCTTCTAATGATGTAGATCTCTAGTGATATTTTTTCACTCCTTACACATAATGTATATATTCTACCTTTTTTTTGAATTTTTGAATTTTATTTATTTTTTTATACAGCAAATTCTTATTACTTATTCATTTTATACATATTAGTGTATATACGTCAGTCCCAATCTCCCAATTCATCAATAATGAATCTTTCAATAAGATTTTTTGAAAGTTGAAGTCTATTTTCTCATGTCTTGAATTGGGCTGGCGCTGAGTCTGCATCACTCTATGTGGTCGAAGCGGCAATACTTAACTTTTGAGCATGGTTTCAAGAGGCCCTGCAGCTTCCACACTTACCCTGTGGAACCCTGAGGCCCCCGTGCTGTGATGAAAGATTCCATGGAGGAAGAGGGCCAGCCATCTCTGGTGAGGCCCCAGACATCTTATCCCATCCAGCCTCAGCCAAGCAGCCATATGGAGAGTTCCGGTGAAAACAGCAGAACCACCACCCATTCAGCCCACAGAACTGTGAGAAATGATCATTCTGTTTTAGGCTACTAAATAGATGGGTAGTTTCTAGGGTGACCAATTTGTCCCAGTTTGCCTGGGACTTGCCCACTTTTAGCTGCCAGTCCCACATCCCAAGAAACCCCTCAGCCCTAGTTGGTCACCTATTTGTAGCACAATTGCAAATACCTTACACAGGAATAAGAGCGTTCAACTCAGTGTTTGAGAGAATTAAGTGAAATGATGAGGTAAAGGCAAAATATAGACAGAGCCCATAAAATGAAAGGTTTTGTTTTTCTTTTCAATTTATAAAATAACTTTATAATAATTTATAATTACTCTATCTTTAATAAAATAATATTTCCATAGCTAATTAAAATTTGATCTTTTATCTTTGTCTATAACTGAACTTCTCATTCAGGGCCCTAATTGCTTTTTTTCTTTTTTTAAATTAGTTTATTTATTTTTGGCTGCGTTGGGTCTTCGTTGCTGCACGCGGCTTTCTCTAGTTGCGGCGAGCGGCGGCTACTCTTCGTTGCTATGCGCGGGCTTCTCATTGTGGTGGCTTCTCTTGTTGCGGAGCACGGGCTCTAGGCACGTGGGCTACAGTAGTTGGGGCACATGGGCTCAGTAATTCTGGCTCGCAGGCTCTAGAGCTCAGGCTCAGTAGCTGTGGCGCACGGGCTTAGCTGCTCTGCGGCATGTGGGATCTTCCCGGACCAGGGCTCGAACCCGTGTCCCCTGCATTGGCAGGCGGATTCTGAACCACTGCACCACCAGGGAAGTCCCGGGACCTAATTGCTTTAAATATACCAGAGAGCATTCTCTGCTGGAGAATGCTGCATTTTCAGCTAAGCACGAAGGTAGCAGGCCCCTGGGAAATTATGAACCAAAAAGAGAAAGAAAACATTGGACTTAGCTAAATTCAAACTGGCTGTGAGTTCTCAAAAGAGTATCACTGTTGAAGATGGAAAACACTTAATATTATGTCATTCTGGGTGGGTCTAGAACAGGACCTTTTTTTGGACAATATTTTTCCCCAGGGGCATGTCTAGTGAAAACATAATCCACGGAGATGATCTGCAGATAAGGTCAATGCCATGTGCCCACAAAAAGGCAGAATCTCGGGGGCCTACTGGTTAAGAGAGTTGAAACCTTTGAAACTCTATTTTAGAGCTTTCCTTAGGAAGAAAAGTGGGAGGCTGGGGTGGTGGTGGG